AGATGGCGCATAGTGTTTCCGTGCTTGCTACACGAACATCAGAACTTTCTGTCACCTGGAGGAACCCTGTACCTACGAGTGGTGCTCTCGCATCTTCAAGAGCTATTGCTATGGTTGGTGACTTGGCACAAACAGAGTGCAAGCCTGGTGTTTCCGCGGAGGGGCCAGCAGAGTGCACGCTTTCCGGACTGGCTCATGCCACTGACTATACAGTCATCATCGAAGTCTGCATCACTCCGCCAGATGCAAGGTCCTATCGGTACTCTAGGACTGCCTGGTGCTCAAAGACAGATGGATTTCGCAAGCGAACGTTGCCGGAGTGTGCGTTCCCTGTTAATTCTCTCGTTAGAATATTACCAAAGTATGGTCTTTATGCATGCCACATGAGAGTACAACGATGTATTACTCTGTGGTTTTTTAGTTCCTGACTCGGCAAAGGACGTTGTTGTGCTGGCTATTCAGCAGAAAGAATTTGTTGTCAAATGGACCGTTCCCGACCTGTCGGTTGGTACGCTGGCATCCTCGAAAGCCATCGCTTCGCTGGATGGAGAAGGTGCGACTGTGACTGGATGGAAGGTGGCCCAATGCAGTCCTGAAGGGAGTCCCCAAGGACAAGCCACGTGCACTCTATCTGGACTTTCGCCCTCATCCAAGTATGCCGTTTCCGTTGAACTCTGTTTCATTCCAGCGGATGTGGGGTATCCTCTTCCTTCACACTCTGACTGGTGCTCCATATCTGGTCCGGTGTCTAAGCAAACTCTCCCGCAATGTACGTAACTACCTTAACTTCTGCGGTTTCCTTCAAGCCAGATTTCTGCAAAAGTGTATTACCAAATTTAATGGTTGGTCATATTCTCTTTGATAGCCACCGCCTCGTTCATTGCTCATCTGGCTTTGTCGTGTCCTTAATGAGGTTAACAATCGGATAGCTTACGTCTTTTCTTGGCGCGATTTTTGCGGGCTCACTCCTGAATGAAAGCGATAAATGTTTCTGCTAGGCCGCACAGTTCGTGCAGTTCTCTTCTTCCTTCTCCCTCTTGCCGTTTGCACCTAATGGTATTTGTTTTCTTCCCTGGCGCTCTCTCTTAGTTCCTGAGAAGGCAACATCCGTCATTGTGCAAGCAGTTCAGGGCCATGCTCTTACAGTCTCATGGATAAACCCCAACTCCGCCTACGGTACAGTGGTGTCCGCAAAAGCGACCGCGAGGCTGCGTAAACAGACTGCCGAGGCAGCGAATTGTACGATATCTGACGCAAAGCCAGGTCCTGCAACCTGCGTGCTCTCTGGACTGGAGGACTTCACGCAATACGAGGTCTTTGTGCAAGTCTGCATCTCGCCTGAGGATGCCGTGCATTGGAAGGGTCTCCGCAGCGACTGGTGTTCAGTGTCTGCCCCCGTTCAAAAGCAGACACTTCCGGGAGGTTCGATCATTCGCCTTTTGAATTCTCTCACTCGTTCCTTAGTATAAAATTGTTCACAATGAGTAGGTCCGATGTTTTTTTCTTCCAAACAGTTCCTGACTCAGCAGTCGGTGTAAAAGTTCATTCTCCAAGCAGGAATGTGCTCGCCGTGGACTGGACCAACCCCTCGGCCTCGCACGGCGTACTGGCATCTTCCACGGCTTTTGCAATGCTAAATAACAGCACTAAATCAAGCTGCTCTGGGAAATTAGATGCGGCTTTGCGGACCTCCTGCAACATCACCGGTCTAGAGGACTTTACAAACTACAGCGTTGCGGTCCACGTCTGTGTTTTCCCCGTCCAATTTGAGCCTGGCTACTGGTCGGGTGGCGGCTGCTCTACCACTACACCTTTCTTGAAGCAAACTCTGCCTGGAGGTAAGGTGCTTTATTGTAGGTGCGGTTGTATTTGATTTATGACATGTGAGGCATTATTTCCGATGCTGTCAATACTGTTGCTCCTAATGTTGCTGCCAATTATAATTATGATGATAAAGGTGCCCTTTTCATCGAAAAGGTCGGAGCTTTAATGTGGTTTAATTTACCATTATGGCATAGGACATTTTAGTCCATACCTATAGACCTTCAATTAATTGATCAATATCAAACACATAAATTAATTTTTAAGGAAATTAAAAAGCTGAACTTTAAAAACCAGCATGTCAATCAGAAGGCAAACAGTTAAAACTGAGGATGCGCTTGTCATCCGCAGCTGTGTCAAGCAGTGGCAGAATACAGACGAAGAGCATGTCTGGGATTTTGGCTGCTTCCTATGCTGCTAGCATGGCAAACTGCAATATAAATTCATATAATTCTGCCTGCCCGTTCCCCATTTGTAAAGTACGTTGTTATTTTTCAGTGTTCGATAGTGTTCGGTCCAAATATATGCAGCAAAATTGGGTCTTGACCTCGAATGAACTGATCCATTTCAAGCACAGATATTTATTTCTAAACAAATTAAAAATGTGACATTTTTCTTGATTCTGTGAACAGGCCCAGATATGGCATGTCGGACTGCCGTTTTTGCACGACAACGAAAGTCCCTGGAGGTCTCCTGGATCAATCCGGATGCGACTCATGGTCCCCTCGCCAATTCCACCGCCATTGGCTTTCTGCGGGGCAGCAGAGTGGCCTCCTGTCAGGCTGATATCCTGCCTGGGCAACCAGTCCGCTGTACGCTAACGAACCTGCTGAATTTTGAAGAGTATAACGTGTCGGTTGAAGTTTGTGTTGCCCCGGTGCAAGCGGGGTCTAACGAATTTGTTGGTGGTGGTTGTTCAGTGACGCCAACAATTTCAGGAACTACACTTCCTGGAGGTAAGTTTCTTACAACATTGATAATTATGTACAAGTATTTTGCTTGCTGGAAGCTTCAGCCAACGCGCACAGTGCACCTTGGGGAGGAGCCTTGCTCATCAGTTATTACTTCTCCTGGCCACTTGAGCTACGAAACCCTGACCGCCAGTTTATTGTAGTAGAATTCATGAATTTCGTTAATAACCTTTAGTTGTGTGATTATCTTAGATAGATATGAAAACCTCATGGCTCACATTTGTCGTCTAGTAGCTGTTGCCGTATTAATCTGTCGGGTTTTCCTATGCATTTCATAGACCTGTCATAGGGGGCATTTTGGTGGTAGTATCGACTTCGGGTAGCAGTACGACTAACCTACTCATATGCAGGAGACAGCTTTGTCACAGCCCGCGTGTTGTACTGGCATTTAATCGGCCCTTGCTTTTCACGGCCCGGCTGCGCATGGTAGCCTTGGGGCGGTCTAAAATTCCGAATCCTAGTCCTGCAACTATGCGTTCGGTCACTTCAAAAAGATCTTTGATGCATGGCAGGGAGGCCCTAAATAGTAGGGGTCTGTTGGCTAAAGGCAATCTTTTCCAGTTCTTGTAGGACCAATTCTCCGATGTAATAGCAGAATTGGTCATACAAGGACTGCAAAAGATTGCCTTCACCCAGCAGCTTCCGATTGTTTGGCGCCTTCCTGGGTTATGTAAATAAGCTGGCCCGAAATATAAATTTAACTAATTTATTCTATCATTTATGTGATTCTTGAGTGTCCTATTATGCCGACCATTCCCACTAGTTCCATGCGTTTGCCTCCTAGACAAAAGCAGATTCTGTATTAATTAAAAGCACCAAAGGTACCACACTGCAGCCAGACAGTGACGCTTTTCGACCTTTTACACATGCACTCGTTATGATCCTTTCTTTTAATGGCGCTCACTTCGCTTGGAAAGGACTGCACAGAAGCAGTTCAAACACCACCTCCGTCCATTTTCTGATCCAGCGGGCTCGGACAATGTTCCGACCACGCGGACATCTCTGTGTTCTCGTCCACAAACAGAGTCACACTAACTTGCAGCGTGATTGCAGTCTTGGGTTCAGTCGGCTGCTACATTTGGCCCTTGGCTTCTGTCCTGCGCTATTCCCACTGTGCTACATGTTAGAATACCTCCACGCTCTGTACGGCGACATGGACCACGCCGTCTGTTTTCTGCCGCACGCTTCCCTCGGTTAAGCAATAGTTAGTGTTCGCCTTAAGTACATGTAGGTTCAATTGCGACACAAAATCTGATACATCAAAAGCCGTTGAAGCAGAAATGCTCACCTACCGATGTTCCGCATGAGCATCTAACACAGAGCAGGTGGATGTCGAGGTTTGGGACTGACAGTTACATTCACAGTTTTAGTTCTTTTCTCATATAAGATCTTCTATATTTCGCTAAGATTGACACGGCATTTGAGTCCTTCATTTAAGTAGATTGGACACTTGGCTAATGACAGCTTACAGACAGGCTTTCTTTTAAATTACTTGTGTGTCCATTTGCTCGCTCCACTATGGATCTGGGACTCAGATTTGGCTGGTGATGGTGTCTTTTCGTGAGACGAACAAAAGCTAATAAGATAGAAATGTCATGTTTAGTCTTACGATATCTTTACCGTTGGAGGCACAGATAGGGAGATTGCCCTGGTGGGGTCACGCCTACGTCTTCTGTCTGACTTCATCTTAAATCCGCAGTTTCGGACTTTTGATCTTCACATCGCCTCGGACGCATCAACGTTATTTGTTGAGATTTGCTTCTCCGACTCCTGTTGATTGCAGGCTGAGCTACCTGTTGCAGAGCTTCA